TCAAAGAGATATCTGCACTCCTAAGCTGAGTGCAGTATTATTCAAAAATAGCCAAGATATGGAAACAACCTAAGTGTCCATCGACGGATGAATGGATAAAGAATATGTATGTGTATGTGTGCTTACAATGGAATATTATTCGGTCATTAAAAAGAAAGAAATCCTGTCATTTACAACAATATAGATGAACCTGAAGGACATTATGCTAAATGAAATAAGTCCGAGAGAGAAAGACAAATACTGTATGATCTCACTTACATGTAGAATCTAAAAATTCAAACTTATAGAACCAGAGAGTAGAACAGTGATTGCCAGGGGTGAGGGTGGGGAAAATGAAGATATATTGGTCATAGAGTACAAACTTTTAGTTATAAGATAAATAAGCTCTGAGGACCTAATGTACAACATTATAGTTAATAATACTATATTGTATACTTGAAATTTGATGAGAGTGTATCTTAAGTGTTATCATCACAAAAGAAAAGGTAACTATGTGAGGTAATAGATACATTAATTAACTTGATTGTGGTAATCATTTCACAATGTATTCGTATATTAAATCATCATGTTATACACCTTAAAAAAGTAAATTTTAAAAATTATGATTTGCAATTAAGAAGTTATTGTGATACATACTATACATATTGTGTATATAGAGCCACACAATCTGACATTAGTGAAGCAAATATTCATAACTGAAATGGCCACAAATGAGTGGTCTTTTTATTCACGTGTTACAGGCTAAATGTCTGTGTCCCCCAAAAGTTCTTATGTTGAAGTCCTAATCTCAATTTGATGGCATTTAGAGGTAGGGCCTTTGCGAAGTAACTAGGCATTGAGGATGGAGCCCTCATGAATGGTATTAGTGCCCTAATAAGAAAAGATATAAGAAATATGATCTCCCTCTCCACCATGTGATGATATGGCAAGATGATGCCATTTCCTAAACAGGAATAGGGCCCTCCCAAGATACTGAATCTGCTAGTACCTTGATCTTGGACTCCCCAGCCTTCAGAACTGTGAGAAACAAATGTCTATTGTTTAAGCCACCCAGTTTACGGTATTTTGTTATAGCAGTCTGAATTGACTCAGACATCTTGCAAAGCAACAACTAATTACTTATGGGACCTAAGACAGAAATATACAAGTATATGAAATTTTGCTAAGCTTTCTTACAGATATACATGTAAAAGACTATGTATCAAGCAATGTAACAGAAAATGTTTGCTGAATTCTTTGGGAAAATGCCAAATTTCTAAGCAACCAAGGTCAGTATGACCAATTCACACATCACATAATACTATTATTAAGATATTATTAGTACTTTTTTCTCTTTTAGTAGTACATAAATGGTGCATCTTACTATTTTACCAAATTAACAGTATTACAGATTCAATGAAAAATGATATCTGAAGACATCAACAAAATTTCCAGGACCGATAAAAGGTACTCACTCACATATTCAAGAAGCCAAAAAAATCCCAAGCGGTATAAATAAAAGTAAATTTATACTTAAACACATTATGAAACTGTTTAAAACCAAAAGGAGAAAGAAAGACTGTAAAGGCAACTGAGGGAGAGAGAAAGATTACCTTTAAAAGAAGGTCAGATGTCAAGTCCATTGCATGGAAATTTCAATATCGTTAAGATGACAATTCTCTCCAGATTGATTTATCTATTCAGTACAATCTCTACCAGAATTTCAACAACCCTTCTGGCAGAAATGAACAAGATGATCCTAAAATGTATATAGAATTGCAAAAGATCTGAATAGCCAAAACAATTTTGAAAAAGAACAAAACTGGACAACTTATACTTCTCAATTTCAAAACTTAATATAAAGCTACTTCAGTAGTTATCAATACAATGTGGTACTGGCAGAAGACAGACATATAGATCACTAGAACGGAATTGGGAGTACAGAATTAATCTTTATATTTATGATAAACTGATTTTCAACAAAGGTGCAAAAGAAATTCATTGAGGTATAAAGAATAGCCTGTTTAATGAGTGGTACTAAGAAAAGTGAATATCCATATGCCAAAAGATGAAGTTAGACATTTATCTCACACTGTACACAAAAAGTAACATAAAATAGATCACAAACATAAAGGTTAGAGCTAAAACATTTAAACTTTTAAAAGAAAACACAGGTGATTATCTTCAAGACCTTGTATTAGGCAAAAATTTCTTAAATATGACGCCAAAAACATGGTTCACTTAAATTTTTTTGATATATAGACCTCAATAAAATTCAAATTTTTTGCACTTTAAAAAACTGATGTTGTCTCATAATAACTGTCCTAATGCTAAATTGTTCAAGGGAAGCAATCCGGTTGTATATTACAAAGTGGAGACAATCTAGTAATCTATTTTAGTTAACATAAACAAATAATCAAAATAATTCAGTATATTTCTGTGACCATAAAAAATATATTTTGTCTCCTCCTTTCCACCCAGTCTTCCATTCCCAAGTCTTATGGCCAGGTCGCACCAACAAAAGTCCATTCTACCATATATTGCTTACTTCAATATACCTAAAGAAGTATAATAATGCTTCTAGATTCCAAACGTATAGCTATGTCGCAGAGGTAAAAAGGCAGCATTTTATGGCACCAGTTTAGTTTATGATCATTTCACAAAATCTATAAAAGTTATAAAAGATTTAAAGTTTTTTTTAAATTAATAAATTGATCCTTTTTCTATTACTAATTCAAGTCCAATTCTACCAAGATAGTTTATATTGTTAAAAAACATCTTTGGAGAATTAATGTTTTGGAAATAATTTTTACATGAATATAATAATTGATTATATATATAAATAACTGCCTATTTAGGAATAAAATTTTAATCCCATCAAAGATGTTTAATAGCAATTTTAACTACTAAGCACATAATTGATGACGTAGGGAATTAAAAATTAAATTTCAAGATAGCTAAAGCATAAATTCAAGAAAATTCAAGAGAATAAAACACTAAAATAAAAAGCTTATAATTCTGTTTATAAAATTACGTGTAATTATGCATCACTATTCTATATTTTTATGTAAATTAATGTAGTAGAACATTACTCAAAAAAACTTTTGAAAAACATGTTCGAAGCCAATGAAATAGCAATAAAACAACTTTTAATTATAAATAAATCTTATTCATTAAATAAAATAAAGTTAAAAGGCACTGGAACTCTTAAATACTAATTACTCTGCTTTTACATAGCGGAAAGTATGGCAGTACAATTCTGTGATCCTATATATGCAAAGCTTACATTAATTTTGATGATTTTGTCTTCATTAGAAACACAGAATTACTCTATATATGCAATTTTATTATTAGTAAGAGGATCTCGTAATAACTTTGTTAAACAATTGGGTTTCTACATTCCCATGCCTGAGAATTTTCAATTAAAGAACCTTACTTTGCTAAGGTAATGACTGAATTTTGTTCAAGATTCTCAAATTTTTAATATTTCACATTAAAGAGCACCCACTGTATTTTCATTTGCTTGGGTGGATGGGATTAAAGAAAATGTAGTTGTACTATAGGCATTTTCTGCCACTCAAGTGCCAGTGTAGCTATGCATGAAGAATTCTTATTAAGTCAAAGGAAACAGAATGCATTTGAAAGCAGAATTGACCTCCTGGATTCAGTTTTACGAATGAAAAGATTCAAGATTCAGGTCACTATGGACACTTTTCCTACTCAAAAAGATATCTTTTCTAATAATAACCATTAAATTGCTCCACATTTTTAGGTTTCCAGCTTCGTGGCCTTATTAGGTATTGAAAACTACATTTCCTTCAAAATAAAAACGTTAAATATGTACAATTCCTCCATAATGTATTTTTTAAATACTATGAAAGTAATGTAATTGTTTCTGGAACCTAGGCTCAGGCAACTGCTCAAGGAGCCTATGAATTGATATCAGTAGGAGTTTTATGCCTATAAAAACGTTCTAAAGATTTTTTTTTTTAATCTGAAAAATAACGTCCTTACTGTGAATTTCACCCTGGGATACAAAGGCAGAAATTACATTGCGTTGTTAAAATATTAGCAGCCACATTTTATTTTTTGAAAAGGCAATTTAGTTTTCCTAAAATAAAGAGTTGATTATAACTCTTATTACTGTTACAAGAATTTGATATATCACTAAGTGTAAGAGTTACAGCATGTGCCAACTATCAACCAGGAAAAATGAACCTGATTCATAATTCACTTTGAGGATGTCTAGTTAGTCAATCAAGTGATTTGTAATCATGAAGGCTGCCAGAAATTGAATGAATAATGAGCCACGGTAAAATCCCTGGATTTTTTTAGTATTCTTATTTCATTATGTGACTTTTATTGCCATTTTTGATAGCTATTTCTCAGCAGCACAAATTAAATCACATATTTACTTAGAAATTTTTGACTATTAAGTAGGCTAAAGGATATACAAGTTGAATGACCGGTATTTAATGGCTCCCTACAAAATAAGTCTTAGTGTTTTTAGCTTGTGCAAAGAAAATTTCATTCCTTCCAACCACTTGCCTCATTTTATTTATTTAGTGACTATGCTATTTCAGTATAGCTCATTATAAGTCAATATATTTTCTTAAGCTGTTTCTATATAACAGTGTAAAATAAATAAAACCATTTAACAGAATCTAGTTGATATCAGAAGCCTTAAGCTTCCTTTTAGTATCTTCACTGTATAGCATTTCTTCAGGAAAAATTATCATATAAAGCTGATGGCCAAAGAACATTTGATCTCTAACTAATATAATCTTATTAAATTATAAATAGAGAAAATATAGACCAACTTTAAGTTTGGCATGTTCCTAAAAGGATAACATAATAAATGAGTGTTTTTCAAAATGTAGACTACTAAGCTACATAAGACTTTGTCATTCTGATAACATTGGCCATTATAAGCATTTTAATCAGAAGTGTATAACATAAGAATTACACAGATTTAAAGCAAATGGAACTTTAAATGTGATAATAGGCTCATTTTTTACTCACTTTTCATAAATTTCAAGCAGAAGGGTCCTTTTCCAACTTTAGACTGATATAACACCAGAACACATGTGGACCTCCTGAAGGAAAGTAATAGAGTCCTTAAGTCAAGATTATCATACTCATTACTGAAATACAATATTTATGAAAAAATTCAACTATCTAAATTTTATGGGTAAATTTCCAATAATAAATGTTTGGTTGTTCAAAATAAAATTCTAGACATACACTCTAAGAAGCAAGTATGATTATGGTGAGATCTTAGGAAAGATGCTATCTTCCAAACTGACTCTTCCCTGAAAAGTACACTCCACTTTGGAATTCATTTTATCACTGTTATCACACCGACTGTGAGGATCAGCTTTTCTTTCCTTCATTCATTCATTTATTCATTCATTCATTCATTTAACAAATGTTTATTATTAATCTACTCTATGCCAGGTATTGTGCTACAAACTGGAAATATAAAAATTAATTAGACACACAGCTTTTGTATTTGCCCTTTAAAAATCTATAGTCTAGTTACAAAGAGGCATATAAATAAATAAGTTCAGTAAAATATAGGACCTATGTACTGGAAAGTTTCAAAGAAGGTAAGGTTCAATGACAGGTCAGTAGTCAGGAAAGTCTTCAAAGAGATAACAAAGTTGAGTCTTGAATGAAAAGTTGCTACTTACCAGGGAGCAAAGAGGAAAGATCATAATGGTAAGGAGGATAATATTAATAAGACAAAAGTGTCAAATAACTAATCATGGTAAGGTGACTACAAGCTATTCAGTTTAACTAAGGTCAACATTTAAGGAGTATATATGATGCAGGGTGTAAGGGAGGGTTGCCAGAAGTAAGCTTGAAGCAGTATGCAATAGTTCAATAATAAAAGACCTGTTATTAAAGAGAACACAATCTATATTTTACAAAAAACAGAAACCACTGAAGAATTTTAAGTATAAAAATCACAGGATCATAGGTTTCCATAAGGTCAATTTATGCATTTGGCCTTCCTCAGCAATGGTCAAACGAGTATTTCACATTTCATTATGTATCTGTTAGAGAACCAATATCAACATTTTAAACTACCTGTTTTATATTCATATATAAATAATTTCCCAGAACAAGGGTCTCACCCTCTAGCAAACTTGTGAATTAAACAATTCTACTACCTAAAAAGTGGGGCAGACACTAAAGAGACACCAAATTTTCCAAGGTAGCATCATCAAGATTCTACTTAAATTCATGCATGTGATATATTCATTTGCATTCACACACAACATTAAGTATACATAATCTACTAACAGACCATCAAAAGTTATACCCATGTAAATTCACAAAAGCAAATGGTTTTAGCCAGCCACATTTTGGTATACGTAAGTCAGTAGTATAAAATCATTGTGAACTAACCAGACTATGCTTCAAAAGTGAAGCAGCTCAGTCTCAAGTTGCACACATAAAAGCTTCATGCAGCTTAACAAAGCAGTTCTATAATGGAGGTTTGAGTAGAAGCTCTGAGGTCAGATAGTCCAGGGTTGGAATCCTGGGTCAGCCACTAACGTTATGCAAATTTTCAAACTCTTTGAGTCTTAGTTTTCTTTTCTATAAGCCTGGGATAATTATTCCTACCCCATATAACTGTTGTGAAGATATAATGAGATATAGAAAGCACTTAAGGATAGAGCTGAGCAAATATTAATTATTCAATGAATAGTATTTTATTATTATAAATATAATAGAAATTACTCATGATGAACTCAAGTTAATAGACTAAATAATTTTGTTAAACTTACATTATAATATTAAAGAAATGTCCAAAGTCTAGTCCAATTGAAAATGTTTGCAGTAGACCTAATGTGAAAATTAATAATAATAATGATAATAATAATGAGATAAGTCATCTAAAAATAATATATTCAAGGAACAAAATTTTGAAAAATGCATTGTTACTTTAATAATTACTTATAGCACATGGGGAGAGTCTAATCTTACTATAGAACTACTCAGAGCCTTTTTGAGGAAAAGAAAATTTTACAATAAAACTTTTCTCCAAATATAGTGCCATGTTATTTCTTTTTTTATTTCATGGCCTCTAACAAAAACATATAGTACAGATGGTAAGGCTGGTTATAATCATGTAATGGCATGTACCTGTAGAATAAGGATCTTTTCCTCGCAGCTGGGCCTTTCATTTGATTTCAGTGTGCATCAGTTCTACAAGTCTGCGACCTTGAGATTTGCTTATTCCTTGAAAGAAGAAAAGTAAAGACATAATAACAATAACAATACCAAAAAAGGCAGAATACTAGCAAAGCAAGACTGTAAAAGAAAACTTACTTTGACAACCAGACAATAGAGATAACTCAAGTGAAAACAACTGAAGAGGACCAAAGAAACACTACTAACTGTATCAAGTTATTTATATATACTTGTGTATATGTATACTCATACATACTCATATATGCACATACGTCATGGTTAAATAAGATTGGGTCAAGTCACAAATGTAATTAGTACAGTAAAATGAAGTTATGATTATTAAATACGCATTAAATGATACTGACCTGAACTACAAATTACTAAGTACATTACTAACTCTTACAATATTAAACATTACATCTCTGAGACAGTAAGCATTAACAATGGCTACCAGTTGAAAGACCAAATAATCTACTTGAAAATGGAAGAGAATCTTTACATTGACACTGCAGTTACCCTGAAACTTCCTGAAATTGGTAATATATTTTAAAGTATAGAACATGTGATTCTGTTCTAGCCAATATTCATTCAAATAAAAGTCATTTGAATTATAAGTTAGCTAGCATGTGTTATATATAAATAAGAACAGAGGTGAGAGAGAAGCTAATCAAACTACTTTTAGGTATATTAATAAACACCAAATTATGACTTTCATTCCTTTTCGCTGTTAGGTTGATTTCTGTGCGATCCTTTAGACTCAAGCAATAAAGCACTATGATTCAACATCCCAATAATGCTTCGTAAAACAAAGTTTAAACCGAACTGTTGTTTGATAACACTGAAAACATAAAATAATACTAGCATCATCTTTCCTGTATAAAGATGGCACTGACTCACTGTCAGTAGAGATGAGCTTCAAGTTGTTTTTCCATAGTGGTGATGGACTTGCTGATCTAGCCAACTCTCTTGCTGAAATTCTCTGATGAACAACTGCTTATATCTGCAAGATGAATGTTACTAGTGGTCACAGAAAATAACTAAATTAAACAATCAATATAGAAATGAAACCTATGCCTTGGTCCCAAATCACTATGTTCCTATGAACTAAAGGTAAAGTCACAGAAATATATAAACACTGTAAATACTTATATACAAAATTGTACATGTGTTTATTCACACACATTCATTGTAGTCTATACATAGTGACTTAAAAATGAAAATAATCAGAGCCTGACCTCTATCCCTAAATAAAAAATGTTCTCAGCTATCTTAAAACAAAAATTGCTTCTGACATATAAAATCAGAAGTGTATAATGAAAATGCTCAAAACATGAAAGCATGCCAACTTCACATCCCTCATCACCAGTAGCAATAACTGAGGAAATTACAAAAATATTTTTGTTAATGTTAGCAATAGTCTCAATAGCATTCACTGTAGTATGACTACAGGCAAAATTACTTTGACATTTCCCAGAATTCTGAAAAATAGTTCTACTTTTTATTTTAAAAAAATATATTTTCATTACTAGCTTCAGTGTTCCTTCATGTTATACAGACAGAGGTTTTGAAATTAAATATTCCTGATATAGTTTTATCAGCTGCCAGTTGAATATCTATAAGAGTTGAGGAGCTGGTTAAACCTTACTTGAAGACACAGTTTTTAAGTATAAGTAAAATTACTGTTATCTGCTTCTTTATTATTTAATGGAATAAGAAATTAGATTAATATCTTAAAAATCAGTAAGAAGCAGTTAACGACTAGACATAATTCAAACAAAATCACCATGCTAAGTACCTATGATGTGGAAGGCACTCACTATTGGGGGGTTCTGTGAACAGGTATAAAGATAACAAGGCATAGTATACAATCTCAAAGAAATCACAATATTGATATTATTGAAACATTCCACTTTCAGTTCTACATAATTGTTTGCAATAACAAACAACTAAATTCTAACCCAGATCCTCTGCTAGTACAGGAAGGATGAGGTGGAAAAACATGACATCATACCAGATCATGGTAGCTACCAAAGGCCTTGGGACTCCTCTTACAAGTGAAGATAAGGAAATTTCAATAGAAATGTTGAGAACATCTGCTACAATCTGTAATTTAGGTCCACTGCCACCTGTAAACAAATTAACTTTGTTAATTTTAAGCCACTATACAAATATTTCTAGTCACGATTCCATTTTAATGGGTCATTCTCTTTAACAATTCTTGATTACATTCCTTACCATCATCCTACATCAACTCACCAAAATTAAGAGTCCTCCTCTGAGCTGCAAACTCCTAAAGTTCCTCTCCATTTTAGTTTCTCATTTCTACAATGCCCAGCCAAGCACCTTACAAACTGTAAATGCTTGATAAATGTTTGATAAATTGAACTTAACTAGTCATCGTACTCCCTCACCCGTTACCCCAAAAATTATCGTTTATTCTAGCTACAACCACCACTCCTTCAGGACAGTATTTCATGAAAAGACAAGATTACTTATTCATTCAGCAAATGTTTCGCTCAAGCACCCACTAGGTATCCTGTTAAATGCCATAAAAAAATTAGCATAAAAATACTACTAGCATAAAAAACACATGATTCCTGCCCTTAAATAACCCAGTCTAGTAAAAAAGATAAAGATGGAAATTAGCTACCACAATACCCTGTAATCAGTTTATAACAAGTTCTCTAGAAAGTACTACAGATACTAAAAGGAAAGGAAAATTGGCTTAGAATAAAGGCTTTAGAAAAGAATGTCATGTGAGATGAGTACTAAAGAATGAATAGCCGCTGGACAGAGGGACAAATACAGAAAGGACATTCTTAGCAGAGGAAAGAGGTGAAAATTTATGGAGGTACAAAAGGTACATGATATTCTGAGAACTTCAAGAAAATTTTGGAAAAGTTGCAGTTGAGAAGGAAAAGGCATGAGAAAGATCACAGAAATGCCTTATTATGCTAAAAAGCTGGACCTCTGTCATGACTAAAGGGGGTAAGCCAGGAAAATGATGTGACCATTTGAAAAGACCTTGACAGCAGTGAGAAAGATGGGAGGAAGGACAAGACTGAAAGCAAAGAACCAAATCACGAGAAACAAAGCTGGCTTGACCTAATGGTGGATGTAATTATCGTGACCTGATTCATTACTGATGACCATTAAGTCTATTTAACCCAACGGGTCTCAAATTCGGATACATATTTAGAGAATACTGCAGATTCATATATTTTAGAAACTGTTTATGTGCTATAATCTCAATGAAAAATCATGCAGGAATTACATACAAATTACATCAAGATGCCAAAATGTTAATAGTGACTAGCTCTGGGTAGTGAGGCTACAAGTCATATTTTTCTTCTTGGTAGTGATATATTTCAAACTTTCTACATGATAAAATTAAGAATAAATCCTAGAGTAATTCCTTAAAATTTAGTTAAAATGGGTATTAACCCTAAAGAGCCAGAGCCAGGATTCCTTGACAACATAATCAGCTCCAAGGCCTCCTTTTACCACCACAGCTGACTATACATAAAATTCTCATTCCTACATCAGGACCTTAACCCATGTTCTTTCCGCTTCTGTAACATCCTCTTGTCCTGAATGCTTACCTATATCCCAACTTCGTCATACCACCAACTAGACTGATTTTGTATATACAATACCAAGAGCTCATTATATGGCCCTCACATTGTGATAGCCAATCACATCTTTCATTGAAAGCCTTCCTGAATACTTCTCCAGTTTGTTATTCCTACAATTTTTACAAGAATATTAGTGCAACTACTTCAAAGGGACATGTGAATCCATATATTCATTGCAGCATTATTTATAATAGTCAAGATATGAAGGTTACCTGGGTGTCCATCAATGAATGAACGGACAAAGAAGATGCAGTATAATTTTTATACACCAATGAACTTTCAGAAAGAGAAATTAAGAAAACAATCCCATTTATAATTGCGTCAAAAACTTATAAAATACCTGGGAATCAAATTAACCAAGAAGGTAGAAGACCTGTTTTCAGAAAATTATGAGTCATTGAAAAAAGAAATTGAAGAAGATATAAATAAATGGAAGCATATACCGTGTTCATGGGTAGAAAGAATCAACATCTTTAAAATGGCCATACTACCCAAAGCAATCTATAGATTCAATGCAATCCTTATCAAAATACCAATGGCATTTTTCAGAGAGCTAGAACAAATAATCCTAAAATTTATATGGAGCCA